AGGTGAACGATCAGTAAGGATGAACATTATATACTTTTACTTTTAGAGAAATTAAATGTATGTTTTTTTAAACAAATCTGTGTATTTTGAGTCTTAATTTATAGAGAAATCACACTGACAGAGTCAAGCTTTAAAAAGACAAGAGAGAAAGAAGATATATGTTGTTTTCATTCATTTTTAAACACTTTGCCTGTAGAATAAAAGTCCAGCATTCCTTGAAGGAATGCATATCGCCCGCCACTTCAATACCAAACCTTAAAAATGACATCATGCACAGTCTCATTAAATATTCAACTCGCAGCTGCTCCTACATGAAACTTTAGCTCTATATATAAAAAGCTAACAGCGTTTTAGACATTTTTGTGTTAACTAATATTGATAAGCTGTGACAGGTAACCATGGTTACCTCCAGAAGTTAATCAATTATAGAAGCGCATCAAAGTAACGTTTCCTGAAAGCTTTATTGAAATCTGTCCAGTGGTTCATGAGATATTTTGCTAACAGACAAACAAGTTTGACACCAGCAGTTAATGCTGAAGTTTTAGGCAAATATGTTGCTCAACGAGTGGAATGAGTAGAGAGTATGTGTTGTAAATGACTCTCAGCTACTACCACACTAAACTAAATATTTGTCAAATTTACTGCATTGTTGCCATTTTTGTGTTTTTTAAAGTCGACTGTCTGAGGTGGCCATCTTAAATGGAGTATACCCTAAATGCTTACCAGTTGTAGAAGTCCATTCCATAATTATATTCTGATTTTTTTAAGTAAAATCTGCTAATTGGTTTATGAGATATTTTGCTAACAGTCACATGGACACACACAGGAAACAAAGAGGTAGTCTCACCTCTGATTGGGTCCGAGGGGGGGATGCGTGGGTATTCCAGACACAGACTTCCTTGCCCCTCTGTCCTTTTCTGCTTCCCCTCTCCCTCCTGGTTCCCCTCCATCTCTTGGCACAGAGCTGGCCCGTTTGGACCCGTGGCGGCGGTCGGAGTGGTCCTCGCTCCGACTGCGCCGGATCCTGCCCTGCGGCTCGCTGATGCTCTTGCTGCGGCAGAGCCTGTTGATCACGTTCTGGGAGACGGCGTCGTCGAAGCGCTGCCGGTGCTTCTTGGGGATGAAGATTCTGGCAAACATAGTGGCATGTGATGGAGATTAATTCAATAAATAAATAAATAAATAAGCCCACAGGAGTCGCCTTGGCAAAAAAGAAGAAGAAAATAAATTTAAAAAAGAGGTGAATCTGGATCTCAATCCATTTGGTCAACCATCAAACTCTGTTTCAAGCTATGAACAGATGTTTAAAGAGATGAAACTCAACAGGCTTCTTATCCTCCCCTCGTGTCTTATAGCTCAGAAAAAAAAAGTTTTGTTGAGACTGGCAGGTGGACAGTCTTGATTCATCCCCAACGAGAAAAGAAATCCAGCTGAATTGAAAGGCAGAGGAGCTCTAAGGAGAAAAGCGGTGAGGAAAGCGTGGCATCTCTCTCAGCCTGCTGGAGTCAGACTGCTGCAGTGTACCAGAACACAGAAAAAAAAAAAAAAGAAAGGTGTGGGAGTGAGCGAGCATGGGATTCCTCCTCTGCCGTCTCCATCTCTCTCCATCTATAGCAACTCATTCTTGTTTCTCTCCCACACTTCCGTCCACAGCTCACCTTTGTGTCGGCGAGCCCAGCGTCCTGCTGAAACTCAGCCTTTAGTTCCTTCATAACCAGTTCATCATCAGGACTAAACCAGATGGGCAGATTGTAACCAAAGAAATCAATACGAGTGTGGCTCCAGGAGGTGGACACCTCTGTATTTACCGTAATTTCCAGACTATAAGCCGCTACTTTTTCACACACTTTTTCAGGTCTCTCTTGTAAATGAGTCCCTGAGGCTCAATGGGATTAACCTGTATAAATAAAATGAGTAGTAGTGCATTAATGCAGTTTCTAAAATTAAAAATGAACTTAAAAAAGAAACCAATATGTGGTTATACAATCTTAACAATCGACTCAAATCTCTATAAATTCTGCAATGTGCAAATAAAATCAAAAGTGCAAAAAATATTGTCAGCTTCTCTCCTTTGTCAGAACATAGCCCTCTTATTTATGCTTAGTTGCTACAAAAATTGTGTAACAGAGCACGGGAAGTTCAAAAAGACAAAAAATGCTAAATAACATGCACTACATGTTAGCATTTTTGTCATGATCAGTGACCTCTGCTTGCCCCATCTGCTCAAGTCTCTGCCCCTCTATGCCTTTATCACTTCCTCTGTCCCCTACCTCACTCACAGCCCCTCATGTCATGTTTCTGCTCCTCTTTGTCATATGCTGTTTTCCCGGCCTCTTCATGTTGTGTTTTCTTCTGTCATTAAGCCACGCCCCCATCTGCACTTTCAGCTCATCAGCCTGATTCACTGCACCTGTTTTTGGCCTTATTTAAGAGCTCCACATTCACTTGTCTGCTGCCAGATTATTATACCACTCTTGGTCCCTGATTTTCCAGCCATCATAGTTTTCTTGATTCAGGCCTGAACCTCAAGTCTTGTTATTGGATTTTTGACCTCATGCCTTGCCTTCTGGATTTCCCATTTTTGCCTGCTCCTCATCTAGTTCTGCTCTGCCTCTCTAACCACGGAACAACCTCCTCTTCTGTCTATGACCACGACTCATGGATCACACTTTTTGGATTACTCTTGCATCACTGACTCCCCATGTTAGACCCCTGCTTTGCCCTTTGGACCACAAACCTGCATTGCCCTGCTGTTCACAGCATTAAAGGCCTCCCTCTGCAGCTGCCTTCCCACCAGTTCATCTCTTTAAACTCTGACAGGTGGCTCTCTCCCCACCTGCCTGTGAAGACCTGTTACTGCAATTGGATCCCAAGTCTCCCCAGCAGCTGCAAATCAATCAATAAAACTGTTTTCTTTGTTTTACCATTCTTGTTGTCTGGCTGAGTTTGAATCCTAAAACCTTGCTTCGTGACAAAAAAAAAAAAAAAAAAAAAAAAAATATATATATATATATATATATAAAGCACCATTTATATTGGTGAGTTATTTTGATGGAATGTCTGATATTTAATTTAAATGCTAATATCAGCTGATACTGATACTATGCTGATAATATTGTGCATCTCTATATTCCAGTGCACAATCAAAGCTCAAAGGCCACAGGATGAAGCAAAAATGAAACGTGTAAAATAAACATAAAGGCTCCATTGTTGTGGTTTGGGGCAGGAAGGGATGGTGGGGGGCACAGAACAGGATGCTATTGTTTCTGAAAAGATCTTTAAAAATGAAGTTATTGAAGATCTTCACTTTGAGAATTTTTCATTTTTCTCTGTGTTGAAGAGAGGCGTAAAAGCAGCAGAGAAACTTTTCTTTTTAAAAAAGGTGTCCGGAGTAGAGGTTAGTTTTTCTTAATAAAATCTTGTTTTTGATTTTCAGTCCAGGCTGGTTTGATTTTATGTTACAATGGCTTGCCATACTAAGATGGCCACTAGTCTACAATGATAATAATCCCCAAAATAATAAAAATAAACAATGAAGTGAAGGTTTGAATTGGTAAACGTCTTCCACTTAGGAGAAACAAAGTGCCATCTTACAAATCACTCATGTAAGATTTTTTTAAAATTAAACGTTAAGACGTAATTAAATAAACGTATCACCTAAATGATCATAATAACTTTAAACGGTAGACATCCTGTCAGCCTAAATCTGTTTACATGGATTGTAGAAAATGTATTTGAATGACATCTGTAAAAACAAACTAATAATAAATCAGATGTGTTCGAGGTTAATGCTTTAATTTGCTTTATTGAGTCACGTTAGGCTTCAGCCGAGGCAGAACAAACAAATCGTCTGATTCCCACCTACACCAGTCTGCTCCGTCCTGAACGCCTCATCTGCTGCTAATCAGATGATTCAGACGTAAGGATTCAGAAAAGAGCGGGATTTGAGGAAAAACAACACCAGGTGAGCAATTAATAACAAACCCCATCATCACTGAAAACCAGAGAGGCAGGAGGAACAACCGTACGGCTCCACAAGAAGCTAATGAATCTGCCTCAATGATTCTGACTGCTCAACAAGACAATTAGGACGCATTTATAAAGAGGCTGAAGCAGCTCGCAGCATCAGCCTCTCGTATATCTGTTGTTTGAGTACTCTGTTAAAGATGATTTACATAAATAAGATGAACTCTTCTCTTTAGACAAGAAGGATCTGCATTATTTAAGAAAAACTGCATTAATTAATATTTACTATTCAGTAGACAAAAAGCTGCAATTAGGCCTTCGACTAAACCTTTTACCTGCAGGTTTGTTTAATAACGAGCCGAATATTTTACTGTTCAGCTCATAACAGGTATTTTTACAGTAAGAGTATCTAAATAATCCAACCATGATCAGGGGTCTGCAACCTTTACGATCAAAAGAGCCATTTCTGCCCCTTCGTTCATTAAATTAAACGTGTCCAGAACCACAAAACCTGCTACAAGTGTCATTTTCAACTGGTGGCCCATGGGCCACTTTAAGTTTGTTAGAGGGGGCTTTTCTGCCCAGTAGGTGTGAAATTATAAAACTAAAAACATCCAGTGATTGTTAACATTTATTGATTTTTTTACATTTTGAGACAAAAGAAAAGACTGGATTCCATCCATCCATCCACCATCCATCATCCATCCATCCATCCATCCATCCATCCATCCATCCATCCATCCATGTCTTTATTTGTTTCTTCCTTTTCATGTTGCAGGGGGTCACTGGTGCCCATATCCAAGTTTCAAGTCTATCACAGAAGACTGGATTATTGTAAAAAATAATAATAATAATAATAATACATATATAATATACATATATATTATTTTGCCACTTATTTTAAAACTCAAACAATGAACTGTGCTATGCGATTTTTTTAATTGTGGAGTAATTGACAAGATAAGATAAAACTTTATTAATTGTCGTATTGAGTATTATCTTTTCTTACTTTGAAGAAATAAAGCAGAAAGTTCAAGTATAATTTACTCTGTGTAATACTAGTATCCACATATGTGCACAGGAAATAACGGGGAAACTTGTCATTTTTTTAAACATAAAATTCAGTTTTATGTTAGTTTTGGTCAAAGCTTGAAAGAGCCGCTGCGAAAGGACCAAAGAGCCGCATGTGGCTCCAGAGCCGCAGGTTGCAGACCCCTGCTCGTGATCATTCACAGCACACACTTCACTTTGAGCATCGAGATCTCAAAACATCTCTTGGGAGTATTTTTAGGGGTTGACCAAAAGATCTATACCTTCGTCATCTCTCAACTTCAAGTGAGTTTAGCACGAGACTCTGGCATGAAAGGCGGCGGATCACACACTTCGAAATTTAACACGTTGCCATGACTACAAGCATGTGCATTATTCATCACATAATGTCAACGTTATGTACGTTCATTGTCCGAGAGGAGAGTTTAGCCTGTCTGTCTCATGTCTTTAGAAATATTAGAACCATCTGCTTGGTGAAAATGAAAGACAAAATATCTGAGCGGTCATGCTCGCTGTAATCAGTGATCCAAGATCCAAGTGATCCAGTTTGACAGATCCACCTGAGACGATCACTAACAGCTTGGCCAACATCTCAGGCATGACTGCAGAGGCACTGAGGCTTCGTTGGTTATTAACTGAACACTGTTGGTGAGGCTAAAGAGGGTTTGTAGTGTTTTATAAGACAAGCGCCCCCTGCTGGCAGAAACACAGAATGCTCTCCATTCAGGACCACGGACAGTTCTCTGATTAAACAACAGAAAAGAGATCCCGTCAGAGCGAAGTTGATATTTTTTACATTTAAAGAGTCATTTGGATTAATTTCAGTTTGGAAGCACTGACCACAATGTGCAACAACAAAAATAAAGATTCTGATTTATTTTGATTGAAGATTTCAGTTGCATCACCTGGATTTGGAGTCAAATCGGTCTGTTAGCAAAATATCTCATGAACAACTGGAGAGATTTTAATGAAGCTTTCAGAAAGTAACCACTGGATGTAAATCTTTAACTGATTAAATTTTGAGGCCAACCCAATTCAAGATGGCTGCCACAGTCAACTGACCTTAGAAAACACAAAAACAGCTGCAATTTAGCCCGTTTTACATATATCGAG